GTCCTTACGGCTCTGCGCTTGTGTCGGCCTGCGATCAACGTCACACCCATTTCTGCGATCTAGAAAGGGTGAAGCTGTTAGTCGAGAACGGCGCCGACGTTAATCTGGAGCTCAAAACGGGGGATTACGGCACAGCCCTCATCGCCGCCGCCGCATCTGGGAGAACTTCCTTCCCGGAGAATGGTATGCCTAACATTTTGGATTACCTCATAAAACAGGGAGCTCGAGTGAACGAACAGCCTGCGGTAGGAAAATTTGGTTCCGCCCTAGTAGCTGCTGCTCACTGTTCGCATGCGGAGGCAGTTAAACTGCTGATCCACCGAGGAGCGGATGTCAATCTACCGCTTCGCACAGGAGATTACGTCTCTGCTTTGGCGGCCATAGCCAGAGAGCAAAGGGACGGACATCTGTTGAAAAGACAGCGGTTAGCTCTCAAGCATCTGATTGATACGGGCGCTGACGTCGACGCGGTTATCCAAGAGGGGAAGTATAGCCTCGCTTTCCTAGAAGACCTTGCGCTTTTTAGAAGCAATAGTATCGAGGCTTTTGAATCCGATGAGGAGAGTGAGGGCAACGGCAGTGAAGCAACGATGGGGAAGGATGAGATAGGAGAAGAGGGCACGAACAAGGACGCAGATGAGGAGATCGGGGCACGGTGAAAACGGTGAAAACAGTGAAAACAGTGAAAACAGTGAAAACAGTGAAAACAGTGAAAACAGTGAAAACGAGGAGGGCCGTTAACACCAATCGAGAGCGCGGCTTCTTTCTATGGTTTCCACGTTGCTAAAATATACATGCCAGGGAAAAGCCACACTACCTACCTACCTGAGTGCATTGGAATAGGAAAGATGGAAACCTGACATGTACTGATATTGTGGTAGGTAATAGGGTGTCAAGCCGCTTGAGTTCCGACTTTCATCACAGAAGTAACCATCGAGCCCTTTTAACAGCAGACACGGCGAGCGGACTCCCCTGTTGGGTGCTTGGAATTCTCGTATTGCGGCCAACTCAAGAGCGGCAGTTCCGCCGAGAAAGGGGCCCGCTGTTCATCTCTAATTACTGGCCCCATTGGTGACATCAGGACATAAAGCACCAATCGATGCAATTACCTGGTTGATGCCACCGGACCTACCCATCACTACCTAGGTACCTATGTAATCGATCTCACAAAAAAAACGTATAAAGTTTGTCGCCATCATCCGTTGAACGTCGTCTTTCTTTCTCAAACTTCTCAGCACTCATCTTCTCTTATACATACACACTCGCTACTACCTGACTTTACCAATTTACCCGGACTCTCTAAACAACCATCAACATGCGTTTCACCTTCGCCGCCACCGCCACTCTGTTCGGAGCCGCCCTGACCACCCCGGCTCCCCAGGCTGAAGCGCCCGAATTCCGTGAGTCGGTCAGCATCAAGGGTTTCTACGCCCGCAAGTCCCACCTCGTCGACGGCACCCTCGACGGCCCCGTCGACTCGGCCACCTTCAAGATGATCGCCAACCGCGAGGAGGACACCATCGGCGTCACCTTCACGGCCACCGCCGCCGAGGGCGAAGACTGGGCTCGATCAACTTCAAGCCCGAAAGCTACAACTGCGAAGGCATCAAGAACATCTGGGACCAGTACCGCTTCGAGGTTTTCGAGGCTTCCGAGCAGAACGTGTACACAATCATGGTCATCCACCAGACTGCCCCTGCGCAGGTTAACTCACCCACTCCACTTTTAACATCTGAACACGGCTGCCTTATGCGCTCTGTAGCTTCGGCTTCTGGGGCAACACCGATGTCCCGGCCTACTGCCGTGCCGGTGGCAACAACGCGATGATCTGCGGGCAGGTCGCCGAGGTGACCGCTGACCTGCATCTCTAGATTCAAAGGTGGGGACAGAATTTCGTTCTGGGTCTCGATTAACAATACCTAGGTAGTTAGGTTCTTTGCTAAATTAATATAATGATTGCGTTGTTGAGTCTATCCTGCTTCCCCTGTACAGCCAACACGTAGTACAGATCATTGATGTCATTTCTGCCCCGAATAGCACTAGCATTATTCGATACCTTTTACCAAGCGAGGCCAGGTTTGGTATTCGTGGATGCATACCTATTTACTGCTAACCTCACTGCTACGAAGATTCGATTTCACCGTCGAACGATTAGTCGAGTAAGCCAAGCAAAATAGCACACATATTGTTGTACCTGAGTCAAATCTAGAGGCAGTTGTTCCTGGTACCAACGCGTTTCTCGTGCAGTTTGTGCGTGCTCTGGAAGGAGGGCTAGAAAGCTGGAAGCCCCTGGTCTTGGAGTAGTTCAGGACGCCCGCCGCTATCACTATTATAATCGAATGAGGGGATGCTTACAGAATCTTGGCTTTCGGAACTGCAACGCGATCGGGGAAATACGGCCTTTGCAGACATCGAATTTTGACGCCGTGATGGCCATGAGCGTGCTGCGAGCCAAACCCGCCAGGTTTTTCAGCGGCTAAGAACCCGGCCTGGTCGTTTCGTGGATTCTTGATCTAGACCAGGATCGCGTATATCAGACTGTCCGTTGCAAGCGTTTGTCCATTCCATTCAAGTATGAGGAGTATGGATTCTGGACGAAAAGGGGCACCACTGATGTGGCATGGCCATATATCTTGAGGCGATCAGTGGGCTTTTTATTATCCAATGAGCGTCCATCCATAACCCGTTGCCGCCTTTGGGCGCAAAGCTTGGACAAGTCAGATTCGTTTCGAGTGCCAAAGAAGAGAATAGCAATGAGACACAGCTTCACAGCTGAAGGTCTCGCATGCACACTGGCCGCTTTGGAGGACACAGCCACAAAACTAAGGTACATAGCCGCAGGCTACGTGTTTTTTTCGCGAGGTATATACAGTCGCGCATGCAACGATTTCATGATTTCCTAGGTACCTAAGGACTTGACATGTATTTGTTCATGTCTCAACCAGCAACCTCAATCTTTTTGGCTCCGCCCGCATAAAATCAAATATTCCAGGAAACCGTTTGACGTCACATCACACATCCCTCTAGCGACCGTGCAGGTCCAGGATGGATCCCTTGTCTCTCCTCGCCGGTATCGCCGGTGTCGCTACTGCGGGTATCCAAGTCTCAAAAGCCATCTACGACCTGGTCTCGACAATCCGCGGTACCCCGAAAGAAATATCAGACATTGCCCGCGGAGTATCCGACTTGTCCATGGTCCTTAGCGAGCTTCGCAGAGCGCTGATAAGACTCAGTCTACCCAACTTCAGGTTTGGAAGGAGGCCTCGAGGAGGGACAGCACTACACAGTGGTTGTACGAACTCGTCTTTTCACCTTATGTTGAGTCACGTTCCGGCCTTCCTACAGCGGCAAAATCCTCCGACGATGAGGCAGAGGCTGAAGGAGTCGCCCAGACGGATGGCGTCCCGAACGAGGAACGAGCACTGCTAGTCAGCAACCCTCCAGAGGGTATGCAGTTAGCGGCAATCATGGAAAAGCCCGTAGAGGTTGCTTCCGTTGTGGACGAACTCCTTGCCGAGTGGACTACCTTGACCGAGGATGAAATTGCAGGGGTCAGTGAGAAGCGACCCAGCAGGTCCAAGGGCACCGAAGTGCCAACCATCAAGTTCAAGGATGCTGTTGGAAGGAAATTCAGTTTTCCGTACCATCTGGTGCAAACATGGGCTGTGAGTGACAATACATAGTATATGACAACGTTGACCGCGCCTGCTAACGTTAGGGACACAGGGCACCGAAAAGCTCATCAAGGAAGCCTTTGTTCACGTTGATGTTATCGGACCACATGTTCAAGAAGGCCGTTACGACATCATAGGGCCATCCGGTGAGATAATACTTCCATCGGTTTGGGAGCATGTCATACAGCCAGGAGACGCCTTCACTATGCATATGTGGCCACTGGACAAAGTTCAGCTGCAAGGCGCACCTCACCATACGCCGGAGCTGGTGCCATCGGTTCAAAAACAGTCAGGTCCAAGTCCAGGAGCGATTGGAACGGCTCTGGGTTCCCACGACAGCAGACGTCACAGCCACGTGGAAATCGACAAGACCCCCTCAAGGCATAGGTCCTGGGAGAGCAGAGACCGCGACAAGACCCACAGGAAATCCACATCTAGACCAAACGTTGCATCTCAGAATTAGTTAGTAATTGAGGACCAGTCGAACCTGTAGTTTGATGCGAGACTGCATCGAATAGAGACTTGGATTAGTAACGGTGTATGAGTAGTGGAGTTCCAATGACTAGAAGCTGTGAACAGGTGGCAGCTAACAGATGGGGTTGCCACGGCATTTGGGGTGATATGCCTCTGAGATGCGCGTGAATGAAGCTTGTATGCTTTGTTGATGGCTGAACCGGAGTCTGCTCTCGATGCTACAAGTAAAATCGGTCATTTGCACGGAGGGAGCTATGGAAACCATGCGGTGTGGATAAACGTAGAGAGTTGGAAAACCTTCTGTGGCCCCTGAATTGGAAGTAATGCGTTAAATATTACTATAACCCCCTATTTCTGTCCTCGTTGTCACGCTTTTCGGAGCAAGGTTCGAATACATGAGAGTTCCTGGCCTCAAGTGAAATCGCCTCATGCCTCTTGCTCTTTTACATGTACTCTCCACACTGCACCCTCTGGTTCCTGCGCTGTTAGCAGATCGGCTTGGAAGTTACATCTAAGTCTTATCCGGGCTACCAAGCACAAATCCCTAGTAAATGAATCAAGAGGCTGGAGCACGCAAACCAGACCTCATCCAGCAAAACATTAGGCGAGCGTTGCAGGTGACCATCCTCATTGAAATCCGCAACGTAAGTGGGCCCCTCCTGAGGTGTGAAATGGCGCTTGACACAACCCCGATAGCGCAGCAAGGAAAGCACAAAACCAACCAAACATTTCAGGGGTTTTGCGATGGACAACAACTTCTCCGAACACCGCAACCAGGTGGGGACGCTGGGCCAGCATTGCCGTCGCGCAAAAACTTTATTATATGAATAAGACCAGGGAAAAAGAAAAAGATGCCGAAACACGGGATTGAACCGTGGACCTCATCATGTCGTTTGGCCTTGTCATTTTCAGACAAGTATACGAGTGATGCGCTCTACCACTGAGCTATTCCGGCGTGCACACGATACGATCATTGTTTCCTTTTAAGTTCTTTTCCCTGTTCCTGTTCCTCCTTGGCTTTTTTCCTTGATCAACCAAAGCTGGCATCATAAGATTTCTACAGATTTTCGATACCAGATCAGGTAGGCCTCTCTTTTCCCGCTATCCAATTTCACTCATGCTTTCTTACCTGGGTTGTCTCTTTCTCTCTTAATCAACCCTCAGTGTGGGGGGGAGGCAACCAACACCAGCTGAGGTACCTTGCCTACCATGCATTCACTGATTCACCACGGATAACAGGCCTGATATACTCGTTCCTAGCAAATGCATACTCTTATTCTGAAACTCCAGATACATCTGTTGGGAGTCAAGTTCGAGATGTCGACGCATCGGGTTGGCTGTCCATGCCAACTCAATGCGGCGGGTTACCCCTGAAAGCAAAAGAACACCTAGGATCATGCCACCCGGAGACGGGTTAATCTGCCGATCCCCCCGTAGAATCCCGCGTTCTTTCGAATCCCGTCCTCGGCCGCAAACCGACCACCACTGCGCTCGGTGCTCCCAATGGTCCAACAGCAGGGGGCGGTATCAAGCAGCCCCTGGAGCCAAATCCGGGTTTCGCAAGATGAGCCCCAGGGCACAACGAAAAGCTTACAAGTCTACTAGGCCTCACCTCCACCCAACCCCCAGCCCAGAAAAGCCGGCACGGCGTTTGCATCGCACCGAACAGCCTACAGACCCTTTATCTGCGGCCGAGATATCTACATGTCGCGCGGAGCACGTCAAAAACAGGCGACAAACAAGGCAAACAAGATGCCCGGCGGACCCCCTGTGTGTGGATAACAGTAACCCCCCGGAGATGAGCGTGGTGAGCCGCTATCGATGGGTCCAAAAAGTCCCGGTTGCGCGGCGGAGACACGGGATGACTTCCACGCATGACCGCCGGAGGCGGGTGGTCTGCGCCCTGTTACTCCGGTTGTGGAGACCCGTCTCCGACGGAGCGTTGCGTATGTGCCAAGCGATGGGCGTGGGGTTAGGTATGTTTTGGGTGCCTGGTACAGTCGTCGGTGAGTGGTTGGGAAGAGACTGGGGCAGGGGAGGCGCCGGGTAGGCGCCGGGTATGGTCAAGTGCGGATGGCGGTATCTGATGAGCAGTGGGGGGGGGGGGGGGGTGAGTTCAAGGGCATTTGGCGTTTGGGCGGGCACTTGGCGGATTCGTAGAGATCTGACCTACACCAGTTGGCAAACCCTATGAGGTGGAGAGGGTGGCATGGGACGGGTTCGGGGCTGGAGATTTGGACAGCCACCACAAAGTGCAAGACGAGAATCGAGATGAATGAAAGACGATATCGCTTAGCCAACTGCAGTGGTTGGTTGTCGAGTAATCAAGAAGGAAAGTATCTCGGCGAGGCCGAGCACGGCGCGCGTCAATCCTGCGCACTTATTGCCCGAGCCACAGCGGTGAATGCGTGGCTCCCGGTTTGGGGAAGGTCCTACGACGGTAGAGGGCTGCACTGCGGCGGAGCGTAAGTGTATATTGTTGTGCATTACGTGAACGCGGGTGCTGCTAAAGTCGTTCGTTATACGAGTGTCGTTGCTCTGGGAGGATGGCGACCTGTTTACGTATGTGTCTCAGAATGGGTAAGTACTCAAGCATAGATGCAGCAATCCGTGCCTTTGTGCAACGAAGAGTGGTAACGATGGAGTGCATTGCACAGATATTCACTTGCGAGATGGGGGATCAATAGTGATCCTCTCTCGTATGGTAGATATTCTTAGATTATTTCGAGCTGCAGTCGTTATGTAACTAAGATCTACCGATTTTCGGGATTCTATCTACAGGTACTCCGCCTCGTCTGATTTGAACGCCCGACCAAGGCTTGAAGTTGGAGGCCTGGTGGGCACCTTCCCCCCGTGCACCCATCCGTTGTCGCGCCGATTAGAAGCCGAAGTGAGAAGGGCCGCGGGGCTTGCGGCGCTGCTTGCGAGACTCGCACGAAGGTTCCTCGATCTCCTTGGTGTAGTTTTGGATCAAAGACATGAAATTGTCCAGATCGTTCAGCTCGAACGACGTGGCCGGTCGCTTCCACCCAAGGTGCTGAGGGAGTTGCTCCTTCTCTGCAAAGCACGCAAACCATTAGCTCCGACTCATTTTATCGAGTGCTGATAAATGGGCTTGGTGGGTGTATCGGTAGAAAAAAGGGACTCACCAAACAGCCACTCAACCCAGCTCCTGGGGACGGTCTGGGACTCCTTGTCGCCGAAAAGTACAACATAGGCAGCCGACTCGCCGTAGGTGAAGGCATCGCCGAGTTCCGACATTTGGTAGGTCGGGTTGGTGGCTTGCGAAGTCTTGATGCGATAATATCTCGCATCGGCGGCCATCTTGAGGGTGACGACCTCATCGGTCCAGTAGGACTTGGTCTCCTCGAAGATGGTGTGGTTGAAGGCGAGGACGCTTCCGTGGTAGGCATCGGCGCGGCTACAAGTGGTTAGAAATTGCTCCAGAATACATTATCAATTGCCATACCTAAGACTGGCGTCGTGCTCGAGAACGTTGTGGTTTCCGAGATCGTTCAGGGAGAAGGTGGTCGAGTTGGCGATCGGGTTGGTGGTCAGGGCAAAGTCGAACAGGAAGCTGGCCAAGGTCTTGTTGACGTGGAGAGCGTCGAACAGGGCGTTCTCGGTGGTCTCACGGTCGATGTCCTGACCATCATGAGGAAAGAAACCGTGGTTGGTCAGGGTGTTGAGCATGGGGCATGGGCCTCGCACTATGCGCGGAGACTGGTTAGCTTTCTGTTTATAGTCTTGCCTCTATGATCTGGTTGGCTCTACCATCATACGGTCCCGGGGGCGCCCAGGTGTCGAACCCTGCGAGCACAGGGCTGACAGCGGCAAGAGCCGGAAGCAGGGAGGTCCTCATGTTGATTATGGGTTGAGCGGCTAACACGACTATAGACGGGTCTTGAGTTGGGAGGTGATGGTGGGTGTCATGTCAGCATTGAAGCGGGCTGGTTGCCCAACATTTATACCAAGGCTCACACGGAGTGTAATTTCCCCACGGGCGGTTTTCCTCGCCCTCAATTGGATCTCTACGTCTTTCGGAACCGGCTCCCAGCTTCTTGGTCCGTCCCCGGCGGACATGCACGGTAGGCTGGGTTTAATTCCGGGCTCAACAGTTAACCATGCCTCCTCCATGGGGCGGCAGGACGGGTGCGTGGGTGCACAGCCTCTTAACTGCAGTACCACGTCGGTAGTGGAGCAAAGATCATCCCGTAGGTTGACATTGGGCAACAGCTCGGATTGCGCGGGTGCGCGGATGACAGCTCGCGAGGTGCGCCAGGATCGAGCCGCGTCACCACGCGGCCATGCCAGGCTCGCCAGGTGCAGGCGGTCGTGGCGGGGTGGTATTGTCAAGAGATGGAAATCATGACAAGGAAATTGGCATGAGATGCGGTTGGCCCCTTGTCTTGGTAGGATCTTATGACCCACTGAACTCCCTGGTCCCGGCTTTGACGGATGACATATCCTGGGTCTCTCATCGGTCCGCTTGCTTTTATCCAAAACGTTGGTGTGCAGTTGTCGCATCAACACGGGCTTCCCTGTAGCATCGAACCAATAAGGCACAGGCTGTTGTCATCTTGGACTGGAAGCGGAAAGTTCAGGTACTGCAGCACGCGTCGCGTCCATGCAACGGCGAGCCTCTTTTGTCAGTCTCGGTAAAGAGGCAGTACCTCACCGCTGCGTCTTCACGTCTCTCGGGCGGCCAGTAAACGGAGAATCCGAGATACGTTTGCGCCTAGGAGCCGAGGAGGTGACTGAGCCAAAAAACCATGGTTGCAGCCTCTGCCACCTACCGAATCTTCAGCCGATTCCTCGAGCCCAGTTCGGGATGCATGGCCCGCCCGGGGCTAACGGGGATTTTTGATCGATTTGTGCGATGCTGCGGCTGCTCGCTACCGAAAGGTATGTACCTGAAGCCATGCAGGAGCGGGAGCGGGAAACAAAGTCCTCACTCCCCTTCCTGCAAAGATCTTCCCATCTCGGTCACACCAACTTCTTGTCGTGGAGGAAGGTAAATTGCTCAGCTGAACACGAAGGGTCTGGGCCTTAACTCGGATGCAAGAACAATCCTTTCGCGAAACCTTTGGTCTCCTTCTTTTTATCTTGCCCTCACTTGAGAGTATTGTCAAATCCTCGCTCCCCCAAACCCCCTGATTGCGTGAGACTTGGCAATCCCACCAAGTATGGGGGACCCCCGGAAGTTGAGACCCGCTCCGGTAACTCTAAAGCCGGACTGCCGGAGTTGACCAACCCCGCCCCCGCAAGGAAGATTCAGAAGAACATTCCAAGCAAACAAATCCAGTGGCTACCTAGGTACTTTGAGATATCGAAGACGGCGATCAATGATCACCATGGACCCAAACAACGTTGACCTGGTCGAGAACCGGCGCCGCATGCTCGCCGGAGAGCTGTACTATGCCTTCACTTCCGATCTTATAGCAGACCGCCTCCGGTGCAAGGTAGCCTGCAATGCTTTCAACACACAGGATGCTGCCGGTGCTCCGCGCCGCAAACTAGTAGAATTATGGAAAGAGTATGCCCCTTTTTTCTAAGATGAATCAGATGATGCACCCCCCCATGAACCTCGTCACTCACCGCTCACCACCAACAGCATCGTCCGCGACGAAACACCCCTCCCGCCGCCAGGCAGCGCCGAAGAGGAAGCAGTCCTCAGGACTTACCCCTGGGTCGACAGCCCCATTAAGTTCGACTACGGCGCCCAGTGCACGTAAGCTCCCTGAGTCCCTTTCCCACCCGCCCGGCCCGGCCCCCCTTACCCATCTACCCGTCGCCCCATACTCACCATCCAAAAAAAAAAACCACAGCTTCGGCCCCGGCGTCTACATCAACTCCTCGGCCACCTTCATCGACACCTGCGCGATCCACATCGGCGCGCGCACCCTCATAGGGCCCAACTGCAGCTTCTACTCGGGCACGCACCCGCTGGACCCGGCCGTGCGGAACGGCCTGCGCGGGCCCGAGTCCGGCAAGCCCATCGTTGTCGGGGAAGACTGCTGGCTCGGCGGGGGGGTGACCGTGTGTCCTGGTGTGACGATTGGGAAGGGGGTGACGGTGGGTGCGGGCAGCGTGGTCACGAGGGATGTGGAGGATTTTGTGGTGGTGGCGGGGAATCCGGCGAGGGTTATTAGGAGGTTGGAGGGGGCGGGTCAGCCTCGGGATGGGGGGGAGGGGGGGAAGGTGTGAATTTTGGGGCTTGGGAGGAGGTTGTACTTAGGAGAGAAATGGTGAGAGGGCGTTGGTGGAGGGGAGGAGGTGGTTTGAGCAATTGGCATTTCATGGTGGGCTGGGCATGTGCGAGGTGTCGAGGTATTGTTTGGCAAATCTGGTTTGAATAGACAAATGGATAGGATGTCTCTGAGGTGAAAGCATGGGAATGGGCACGTCAAACTCGGATTGTTTTGATGATGTTAACCTGAGCGATGTTGGTGCGGTGACTGCCAACACTGCCAACTTCAAGTTTGACACAAATTACCACATCCCCCAAGGCCTAAATTTAGGTGGGCTCATCTCTCGGCGATGTTTCATTGCTTTTGAAAGAGCTGGGGCGTTGTAGGGAGCAATTTGAACACCATATTTAACGCATGAATCATGTTGAAACGGTTGACGGGAAAGGGAGGTGAAAAAAGGGGGTAAAAGTTAAAGTGACCTCGACGACGCGTTCAGGGGTCGAATTTGGAATGACCCGATTCCTTGAAACTTCTCGGCGGCAGCCAGATGCATTCAAAAGAAGAGAGGAATAGTGAAATAAAAAGAAACGGCCTGCAAAAGGTAAATTGTGGCCCTGTGGCCAACTATCTCGATCCACCCAGGGGTCGAACCTGGAACCTCCTGATTACTCGATCCTCTCCTGGGATGTCCCAGAACTTGGAGTCGTAGTCAGACGCTCTGCCATTGAGCCAGCGGACCTTGTTGAAACTGCGAATCAAGTTTGTGGTTATTATTCGATGGTGGCAGGCTCAGACGAATCGAAAGTGCGCGGTTAAGTTGGCGGCTAAAACCTGGACGAGTCAGAAAGGTTGGGCGGGGCAAGGAAACTCGCCCAGGCTCGACAGGTACATACATAAGTACCTTAGTTTGGGCATCCAGATAAGAAGTTCTACTGTTATATCGACAAAGAAGCTCTTTGCCATCTAGGTACCTTGAGTATCAGCTCATAGGAGGTCATGTAGTCGGAGCCAATACATTTACTTCACGCGAGCAGGGGATTTGTTTCTGGATATTACTACCCACTTACGTATCAAGACTGGAGGCTGACGGGCGGACCGATGGCGGTTTATTATCAGTCCTCAATGCAAGTTTCCACTCCACTTCACACAAAGATGCCCCAAACAGTGTGTTTTCTGTACGGATGAGCGCTTTATGATCTCTGAGATGTCGCGTAAAGCTGCTAAAGCATGCATCGTAACGAATTAACAAGTGCCCTGTCTCCATCCGATCATTTTTCGGTGTATACCATCGTTAACTTTCCATTCCTAAGATGGAAGAAATCAAGTGATCTTCATAGTTCCCCAGTGACTATGCCCCTAACAAGCAACCTGACTTCCGCTCGTCGTTGATCGAACAGTTGTGATGTAGAAGTTCATGGCAGCCCAGTTTTCCGCCCGGGGGTCAGTCCTGTAGCTCTCACACTCTAAGACCGAAGTCACCCTTGCTTTCCCAATGTCTGGTAGTTCCCATGACGAGAGATCGATTGGAGAGGTTGAGATGAAGACTTTCAAAATGTCACAATATTGGTCCACGCCTGCGCTATTCTTAGCTGGGAGCGTCATCGTGACATTTCTCTCCTTCAGCCCGCCCGTGTAACCGACGGGAGGGATTGCATCGCCAACGCCGGACGCAATGTGCTGCACCTGCCAGCGAGGACCAAGATCTAGGACCTGGGCGTACAACGTTGAGCAGCTGTGGTTCTCGATTCTGATAACACCTTGTTCTTCGTGGCGCATTTCGACGTTGGATCCTGGGGGGAACGAGTCTGAACCTCTGCAGAACTCTACGTGATACTCTTGGAACGCAACACCAGAGGTATTTGTGAGCTCCTCCACATGCTTGAAGCGGACCAAGTGCTCAACTATGCGCAGATTATCCTCCACATCTTCGGCATTCGTGAATGGTAATCGTGGGACGAGCTTCTTAGTACTGTCGAGAATGTTGATCCCTCCCTTGGTGTTCGGCTCGATGAAAAACGCAACGGATTTATCGCCGCCTTTTGCGATCCGGATATTCAGGGACGTTTGTTTCCTAATGACATCGCGCCATTCGTCCAGTTTGGGACACTCCTCGGAGACTTGAACAAGGAAGCGTTGGAGGGCCAAGCGGGTAGTTGACGTCGCTGTCCATCGGGTTTCGTCACCTCTCGTGCCTAGGGCGCCGGAAACTGCCAGCTCCGATGATAGGGGACCGACGGTGACGGCGCGTGCTGAAGTCTCACGAGCAGCAACGCCGTCATAGTAAGGTGTTAGGACGAATTCATCGTTCACACAGCACCCGTGAACCTCGCCAGCTTGCAACCATATTTTGCCATCGTCGCTAGACGACTAGTATGCCCCAGCCGTTGGAGTCGCGCCAATTGCCTCCACTGGCCGGCCAAAGAAGCGTATATTGCCGTTTCCGTACAACATCGGGGTTTGTGTGGCCAACTGGGGTAAGCGCTTGAATCTGAGACAAAGGTTCGCGTAAATCTCGGAGAGCGTTTTTGACGTTGCGTTAACACCAATAAGGGACTCGTAGAGGGAGTACGTGAATGCGCTGTAGGATGCTTGCTTCGAAGGTAGGCCTACAGTTGCAGCTGACTCGCGTGGTCCACAGGCGGCGAGGACGGTAAACCCGGCTGGGTTTACGATCCAGTTCGGCAGCATCGTAGCGTCACGGCAGCCAAGCGGTGCCTGACAATGCCGTTCATCGCCTCGGCCGTCGATATTGGCAATATTGCCGGCGGCGCCGCGTAAGGTTGCGCCCGAAAAGCAGCAGTCCAAGACAAGTAGAACGGTCAAGCCCTTCTGCACCATCGCCTTGCTCAGAATTGCTACATCCTTCCCACTGAGCATGGCCAGTTCATCGCTTGTCTCCTGGACAAGGGCTAACTCGACGTCGCCGCCGGGGGTCCCGTTTACGACAACCTCTTTGCCGTGCCCAGAGAAGTGGATATACACAAACCCACCCGGCATAGCGTTTTCCGTGACATTTTCTAGCGTTTTCTTGACGTTATCTGGGGTAGGCCGCACCGGGGGCGGTTCAAGTAGCGACACAGGTTTTGGATAGCTGTTTTCCAGAATCCGTAAATCGATGGAAACTGGCAGTCCCCGAAGAACTTCTCGCATGATGTTAACGTCATGCACACAAGCTTGCATCCGATCGTCACTGACACCAATAAGAATGGCGTAGTTGTTTGTGTGTTCATGGTCTCGACTCATGGCGATTGAAAATGATTTGATATGAGTGCCGGGTCTGAAAGTAAAGATGGGTAGGTACCTATGGGTGAGTTGAGTTTCAAGAATGCGTCACCACAAGGTGTCGGGTCGACTTGGCGGTCCTGGCCTCAGTCCAAGGTGCGCATAATAGGAAATGGCAGAGTGGTCCAGCGATGTGACGGAGCGATTCTTTGTAATTATGCCAGCAGTTCCTGCACACAGCCTCGTAGCAGGCAGAAATGCAGAATACGTACCTAATGGACCACCAATCATTCGTGCCCATATGGCTTCTGGATGGCGGCATGGGGGCTTGTGTTACCGTCGTTTTTCCTGGATTCGTGTCTCACTGGCAGATTTCCGGGGACAGGAAGCGCCAGCAAGCCTCACTCTTGATCGAGCATGTGCCCACTGTGCATAGTTAGCGAGGTAGCCACGCCGCTGCATGTATCGTTGATTTAAGATATCTGTTTGACGGTGCCGGGGGGGATTCCGCTCTATCTTAACCCTTGCTTTGAATCGCTAGCCCTTGTATTCCTCCAGACGCTCCTCTTGAACCTCAGCACCGTCCAAAACCTTGTCCCCGAGATGGAATTTGCTTCCCTGGAGCCTGCCTGTTAGCCATGTTTACAGGAGGGCCGAATTGCACGTAGCATAAATCCTCCGCACCGTGGGGTACTCTGTGATGATGGGTTTCTTTCCCTCATCTCCAAAGAAAATAAAATCGGGGCTCCGCCGTCTGCCAGGAGTATATTTCTTGCAGTTAGCGAGTGCATCATGGGGTCGAGATTCAAGCTTGTCAATAGCATACCCATCATACGGGTCCATGGTAACTTTGAGGGGCCGAAACAACTGCGTCTCCCGCACGGCTCTTGCAGTTCACGTTTTCAATTCACGTTTTGCTGGCTAGGGTTCTGGCCGGTCTGGTTTTGTTGCGCAGGAGTGAGCTTGGAGTCAATCCCGGGCATAGCGGTCAACACCACCGCGCACTCAACGGCCTTGTTATACACATTTTCATTTGGTGCTACCCCACTCTCTGCACCAAGGACGGGAAGGTCGATAACTGGCCAGGGGATGGTGCCTCGCTGCGCCTAGGCTGATTGGGAGGCGAACCACGCCATGCCATGGCCGTGGAATGCCACCCAATACTGATAAGACCTGCAGCACGGAGGTGGCGGGGAAGAGAGACGGCATCGCTTTGGAACTTGCCATCCACTTTCAGATCCAGCGCGTCAGGGGCTTCTTTCGAACAGCCTGGCAACCCACACCTCGTCAAGTCATGTAAACGAAGGGCATTAATGTTGGTTTACCTACGGCTGCAACCAGATGAACCCAGATATCGAAATGGCGCCTGAAACGCCCAAGCCCACACCATGCTGGGACCTTGGAATCCATCGCTGGATAAAGCTCGTATGTGCTTGGTTCGGCCCAGAAAGGGAGTTGTCACATACAAACCAGAGTACCAGTACGTGTTTGTCTCTGCATAATGTATTTCGAGGTGGTACTCACACAATGCGTATTAAAGTCGAATCTTTCCGTCCCGGCTACCCCCGTTGGTCCGCACTCGTTGCCTCGCACAACTCTTTTGCCGTCTTCCGGAGATTCCACCGACTCCGGATGCGTCTCCTCCTTCTGAAGCAAGATCAGCTTGCAGTAAAAGATGCCCGGCTCAGGGAGATCGACGAGGCCGAGACATTGAACCTCTCTCTCGCGAGAAGTCGATCGGACTCAAGCGCTGAGCGGATTACCCTTCTTGAAGACGTGGAGCGCCTGATGATGAGTTACGGTATGCAATTATAAGACGGACCCTGCTGGCGTAGACGCACTGCTGTGATTCTACCTTGACATCATCAAGCTGATAGCACCCTTAGATACTTTGTTGGAAAAGACCGCTCGCGCCATGACCTACAACTCAGCATCTCCTCGGGCAGTGGCAAGTCTGCAAAATTGGATCAACGGTAATAGATGCATTACTAGAGAAGGAACAGCCTTTCTCCATCATCTCGACGACCTGATCAAGATTTGCCCCACAAGTGATGATATCTTTGCCAAGCTGGAGTCCTGGGTCGAGGACGGCCTTCTCCGCTTCTACAAGGGGTTCCGCCAGGTGAGTTTTGAGGCGTCTGCTTATCATCTCTGTTTGTCTACTATCCCCATCAAATCTGTGTGTGTAGCTCATGACACCATGGCAGCGACCGGGCTTCGGTGTATCCGTTGACCCGCATGTGCATTTCTACTCAGGGTCCCTCATCCGGCGGCTTGCCCGTGTGGTCTTCGTACTCCTAACAACTTCACTTCTCACTGTGCCCATCGTAGCGTGCAACTCAATTGGCGGCACGGCAGCTCGGATTGCAATCATAATTGCCAGCAACGTACTCATTCAGGCCGTTTTCGGCAGCATGGCCAAGTCGAAGATGCTTGAACTGTTTGTTGCGGGAGCAACGTGAGTACCTCACCTCTCTCGCGCTTGATCTCACCGTCACGCCTCGTGGACGTAATTAC